TGGTGCCGCTGCCGTGCGGTGTCGGGCATGTGCGTGGTGCGCTGCCGGCTACCGGGTGGTGCATGCTGCTGGGCAGCCCGCTGTGCGTTCTGTTGCCTATAACTGCGCTGCCGGGTAGTGTGTCCATAACAACCATCCCTAAATGACCTATAAAATCAGAATGAACATCCATAGAAAAGCATAAATTGAGGTTTTTGTGCAATTTTCCACTTCCCTTTCCGTCCATCTTCGTTCAAGCCTTCAACGAGAAGAAAAAAATAAAAAAGACTTTGCCATCACTAAAAGTCTAAAACCACACATGCCATCACCACATAAGTGAGTCAATATGCTATGCCATGTCAGGATGGCGTGGCATATCATTATTGATAGATGTGTTCAAATTTCAAATCAGCCCTTTTTTACGATCTTCAGAGATGGATAGGACTATTCTACCAAAACAAAAAAATACAAAGGGGAAAAGAAGATGCATAGGACCACAACAACCGTGCTCTTTTCAGCAGAGAATCATATAGGTCTGGTGGTGGTGGGTCTTTGATAGGATCATAGGACATGTCCTCTTGTATCTACCATGAAACAAAAGAAATTTGATATTTTTGCTACCTGCTTTCAAAGACCTGTGTATTCCAGTTGGAATCAATTTCCCTATCATACAAATCTTTTTCAGAACAGAAGCAGTAATTCACGGAAATCTTTGCAATCGTATCTTAAAAGCAAAAGTGAGAATGAGCTGAAGAGCCGGCAGAAAACAGGCTAGCTGTCCACAAATAAAGAACCACACATTACTAACAACTCAAAGTGCCTCATGCATATACCCATTAATGAACCAATAAACACATAAATATCTAAATATAAAAACCATAATCCATAACGATAGGTTTTACTCCACACGCCAAATACGAATTATAACAGAACAAGTAGGTCCACTGCCTCGTATAAAAGTATGATCATAATCAAAATACACAACTAGACTAAACAATTACCCAGCTCAAAACTAAACGAAGACCAAAACGCGGCCAGACCCTAAACTGTTAAGTGTAAACAATTCTGTTTTATTTTATCTTCCTCCTCTTTCCCGCAGGATTTCAGACTTGACTTGGGAGACCAGCAGTTGCCAGCCCAAGTGAAACTTTGATACACAACGGCACCACCTATTGCAAGCGACTGGTAGGTCTTTTCTCCATGTCTATATCCCAGTACGTCAAGTGGGAACTCCCACCCGACTTCCTTGATCACACCATCCCAACCAACTGTGACAGATTCACAGCCTTCAAATCATAACCTACAGCTTCAAAGCTTGCGTAACTGAAACCATCTTCTGGTGTGACATGAATGGTGGAAACCGAAGCTCCTTCAATGGCATTCATGGAGTAACCACATGGCTCAAACTCAAAGTCACATATCTCAGAATCCGGAAGTATCTTCCTTATACCAGACATGTCAGTCATCTTCGCAGCTGAACTTGCTCCGGTCTTGTAGAAGATGGATGCCAACTTCTTGTCCAAACCAGTCCTGCACATTTCCAGGGTATAAACTGGTTCGTAGTGGTTAACCACCTCCGCACTTGCAGAGTAAACATGCCACTTCTGTGATTTGATCAGATTCCCCACCACATACGCTTTGCTGCCGGAACCAAGATTGCCAAAGTACTTGTCAAGGACAACTATTTCCTCGGAGAAGTTGCGATGAGGAAATGGCTGAGCCCCAGGAACTGTGAAGGTCCCACGCGTGTACTTCACAGCTCTTACAGTGAGGGATAAGCTGTTGGCCAACTTGAGGATGGATGGGATTGAGAGAAGCAGCTTTGTAGTGCCACAGGTCTTGATGATGATCTTGTAAGGGTATATAAAAAGGCTAGATTCTGAGAGGATATAAGAGTCAACATTTGCATTTGACTGTAACGCAACTATGGTGCACTCAGCTGGTTTTAGTATTTCATCCAATTGAGCTTTGAAAAGAGATCGTAGGCCCTCTCCTCCAGGATCTGCAAAGATGCTTGGCTCGAAGAATGATATTTCAAGCCTCTTCTCATAGCCTTTGAATCCAAATGGAGAGATGGGCAATGCCATCTCTGCTTAGAGGGAAGAAATAAGGTTGCCAAAAAGAGGAGACTGGGAAGAAGAACAAAGTGATAAAAACTTCCAAACTAAAGCAGTAACTACTGTGAACTACGTCAGGTAGATATATCACACTTTAAAAGAACGTCAGGATGGCTTCCGCACGCACTGCACAGTGGAACACAAAATGATAGATTAAGTTAGTAACGAAATGATGATATTCCATGAATGATATAAAATGCTAGCTAGTTAACACCATGAATCCCTAGAAGGAAAATAAATAGCCTTGAATTTTCAGGAGCAGATAATGTGCATTTTAATAGCCTTCAAGATATACGCAGAGCGAACTGGAACTTACGTTGGAGTAGGCTGCAGATCTGAATATCTTAATTCCACCGTGAGGACGGACGTCTTCAATGCTGTAACCTAGAGGAGCTTCATAGAATTTGGTTTTACTACTAGACTTTTTGCCACCCTTAGCCTCCATTAGATCATTCAGTCTTGCCTGAAGAGGAGACAGAAGATAAATGAGAATGAACCACCAAATGTATAACATGAGAACCTCCCGGAAAATGAAGTAACAGATAGAAAGAGAAAGACCGGATCACCTTAAGGAACATAAGATAAACTTCAAGAAATAAACAATATAAGTCCCATAGGACTATATTTAATAAAAGCATTGACTATATTTATCCTGATCAGTAACCAATATAAAATGAACAAGTACTACAGTAAACCTATACTAACAACAAAAGCTACCAAGTAATAATATATGTAATGTGCATGTGAGAAGTATCCAGCATGTAATATATGTATTACCAACTTTGATTACGAGTAAATTACACATTGGTAACAATTATGAGAAGAATATCCTGCAAGCAAATGCTGCAAATCTGAAACATATTAGCGCAATTTTAGCAGTAAGTTATGCCAATGGTAAAAAGTAGCCAGAATTAATAATTTTTCCCCAATCAAGCGCAAAGGTCAAATATGAAAGAATTAAAACAAAGAAAATAAAATAAGATGTGAAAAGAACAAACATAAATTTATTAATTCTGAATGAATGTTCTTATGCTACAAGTCTACAATATACACGCTTCTAAAAAATATATTCTCGAAGAAAATGGAACATAGATTCATAAAAAGGGATTTTAGGAAGAAGTCCACATAATAACATAGACTAACCAATGCCACCAATAAAAACTATTCAAGAAATAGTATGGAAGGAGTATTTGAACAATTATTCAGATTAATTAGTAACAAATCTATATAGCCATGCATTGTTTCCATATGCATAACAATAATTTAAGTCCAATCTATCAAGACCAACAAGTTTTATCACATTGTCTCTGTAGGACACAAAAAGAGGGGAAGAAAAATGGGGACATGGAATTATACTTCATGGTTCAACCGGAAAGCAGAACCGGCAGGAAGAACCAAAAGAAAAAGGGTAGAACAGAGTCAATAAACAAGTCAACACTACAGGAGCCTAGGCAGGAAGAAAGAACCCAAAGACGATTTGGAAAAAAAAAACAACAGTAAACCAGAAATAGAGTATTAAACTAAGAAAGAAAATCTCGAAAATAACAGAAAAAAAAATGCAAAATTTAAACATAGAGAGAACAGAAGGCCTTATAATGGTTAACAATAATTTCGACAAAACCAGTGATGTAGCATAGAAAGTGGCGGGAAATTCTATTGGGATGCTAGACAGTTATGTTTGTTGTATTAGTTGGCATGAGCTGGCGGTTGGACGAGCTGTTATAAAGCCCTTGTACCGAGTCGAATCAATACAAAAAATATACACATACATTCTCTCATTCCCTTCTTCTTCTCTGCTTCCTTCATTTCTTTTCTCTGTTCGTGTGGTTTTCTTGTGCGAACCATACCTGCAGGATAATACAGTAGTTCTCAGAGTGCTTCACAACCTAAGCTGCATCATTGGTATCAGAGCCTGTTCTGATTCTGGATAATGGCGGATGCGACACGGCAACAAACCTCCATTCGAGAAGTGGAGGAATTTTTAACAAGGAAGTTGAATGAAACTAATGCTCGACTGGATCAATCCATCACTGGACTAAAGGATATGATAATGGCATTGGTTAATCAGCAAGCAAGGTATGAGTACACCGGGGTGACGTCAAAGAGAGGACACCCAAGAAGTGGTGGAGATGGTAATTCCTTCTCTGATTCCTCCTTCTCCATGAGGCTTACAAAGGTAGATCTCCCGAAATTCAATGGAGACAATGTGAAGGATTGGCTTTATAAATGTGACAAATTCTTCTCTTTGGATAACGCTTTGTCTGCTACTAAAGTCAAATTGGCAGTGATTCATTTGGAAGGTAAAGCGTTGCAATGGCATCACGCTTTGATGAAGTCTAGACTCACTAATGACCCCATGAATTGGGAGGATTATGCTAAGGCCATCGCGTGTAGGTTTGGCCCTGCCTTTGATGATCCTATGTCAGAATTAATGTCGCTCAAACAATCAGGATTTGTTGTTGAATATATGGAGCAGTTTGAGAACATCTTGACCAGGGTGGAATTGACTGAAGAATATAAAGTCAATTGCTTCATTACCGGGTTAGAATATGAAACACAGATGCATGTGAGAATGTTTCATCCCACGACTATTCAGCATGCTGCCAACTTAGCAAAGTTATTTGAATCTGCACAAAAATACAAGCAGTCGAAGTATTCTCAAATCAAGAATGTGTATCCGAAGGCTGTGAATAATATAATCAGACATCTAACCAAGGTACTATTAAGCCATCACCATCTGTTCCTCTCAAGATTCAGGGAACACCTATCTTGGACAAGCCACCTACAGTGTATTCAGCTACAGAAATGGCTGATAGAAGAGCTAAAGGGTTGTGTATGTTCTGTGATGAACCCTTTACACCAGGACACCAATTGAAACACAAGAGAGCCCAACTATATGGTGTGGAACTAAATGATGATGAGGAGGAACATGGCACTACAGAAGAATGTAAGGAAGAAGAACCCTATGTTGAGCCTTGCATATCAGTGAATGCGATTACAGGAAACTCACATTTTTAGACTATGAGGGTGACTAGGTATCACAATAAAAGACCTCTACAAATCTTGATTGATAGTGGTAGTACACACAACTTTGTGGATGAGCAAGTTGTGAAGAAGTTGGGGTGTAAAGTGGTGACTACTAAGCCAATGGTTGTATTAGTTGTTGATGGTAATAAAGTGTATGCAGCAGCAGTCTGTAAAGGATTTAGTTGGCAGATACAAGGCACCACTTTTGCAGCAGATTGCATAGTCATACCTTTAGGATTATGTGATGTGGTTCTGGGAATTTAGTGGCTGTCCACTTTAGGGCCTATAGTTTGGGATTTCCAACAGTTGAGAATGGAACTTAAGGTTGAGGGAAAGAAGCATGTTGTCAGAGGAGCTACCACTAATAAACTAAGAGCAGTTGATGGCAAAAAATATCTAAATCACTGCTGCAAGGAGGACAATTATCCTTGTTGCAACTCTGCAGTGTTAAAGAGAATGTTGATGCTACTGCTTCTCTTTTCTCTGTTACTCTGGATAATGCACCCATCCCTGAAGCAGTCTTCTGCAAACTCTTGGACAAGTACTCTGCTGTATGTGAAGAAGCTATGGGCTTGCCTCCTTACAGAGAAGGCTTTGATCACAAGATTCCAATTGAACCTGGGGCTCTCCCTGTCAATAAGAGGCCATACAGGTACCCTTCTTTACATAAAAACATTATTCAGAAGTTGGTGAATGAAATGTTGGAGAAAGGTATTATACAACCTAGTGTAAGTCCTTATGCTTCCCCTGTTGTCCTAGTGGGAAAGAAAGATGGTTCATGGCGCCTTTGTATAGATTACARGGAATTAAACAATAGAATTGTGAATGATAAGTTCTCTATCCCTCTTTTGGATGATCTCTTGGATGAGCTATCTGGTGCTAGTGTGTTTACTAAACTGGATTTAAGATCTGGTTACCACCAACTTCGAATGCATAAGGAGGATGTAGTCAAGACAGCTTTTAAGACACATGAAGGGCACTACGAATTTTTGGTGATGCCCTTTGGCCTCACAAATGCTCCATCCTCATTTCAGAATTTGATGAATCATGTCTTTAAGCAACATCTTAGAAGATTTGTCCAAGTCTTTTTTTATGATATTCTGGTGTATAGTCCAGATTTGCAGACTCATCTACATCATTTGGAAGTTGTTTTTGAGTTGTTGCAACTGCATTCTCTGTATGTTAAGAGAAGCAAATGTTCCTTTGCTGCTTCTAGAGTTGAGTACTTGGGGCACTTTATTTCTTCCCAGGGGGTTGCTACTGACCCTGCTAAAATTTCAGCAGTCAAGAAATGGCCTCCACCTACTAACTTGAAACAGATGAGGGGATTCTTGAGATTGTCAAGATATTATAGGAGTTTTGTGCAGCATTATGGTCATATTGCTAAACCTCTCACTGATCTTCTCAAGAAAGATCAATTCTCATGGAATGAACAGGCTCAATTGGCTTTTGATCAATTGAAGGAAGCTCTCTGCTCTACCCCAGTTCTAGCTCTTCCTGATTTTTCCAAGACTTTTGTCATAGAGACTGATGCTTCAGGTGTGGGTATTGGTGCAGTTCTTATGCAGGATAATCATCTTATTTCTTATATAAGTCGCACCCTCAGTCCTTTGCATCAAGCAAAATCAGTATATGAAAGAGAGTTGCTAGTTGTCTTGTTTGCAATCCAAAAGTGGAGTATATACTTACTGAATAGACATTTTACTATAAGGACAGATCAAAAGAGCATCAAATATTTGTTGGAGCAGAAGATTTCTACTCCAGCACAGCAGGAGATAATGGCAAAACTTATGCGCTATGACTTTGAAATTTAGTACAAAAAGGGGCGGGAAAATAAGGCAGTGGATGCTCTTTCAAGGCTGCAATCTTCAGAACTTATGCTATTGGCTTTGAGTCCACTGAATGCAGATTTGTATCAACAGTTGCAACAGGCTTGGAATACTGACTCAGCTTTACAAAAACTGATCCTTGAGTTTCAACAAGATCCAACCGCTCATCCTCATTATACTTGGAGTAATGGTCAGTTGCGCAGAAAAGGGAAATTGGTTGTGGGTTCTTCTGTTGCTCTTAAGCAGTCTATTCCTAACTGGATGCATGATTCACCATTTGGAGGTCATTCTGGTCATATAGCAACTTTGTAGAGGATTAAGTCATTGTTTTATTCGAGGGGAATGTCTAAGGATGTTCACCAATACATCCGGTCCTGTAGTACATGTCAAACTTGCAAATATGATTCCTCAGCTTATCCTAGTCTACTGCTGCCCTTACCTATCCCTGATAAAGTTTGGTCTGCAATATCAATGGACTTTATTGAGGGGTTGCCTACTTCTTTTGGGAAGGATGTTATTTTTGTTGTAGTTGATCGCTTAAGCAAAGTTGCCCACTTTATGGCTTTACGGCATCCATATACAGCCCTGCAGGTGGTTCAACTTTATCTTAATGAGGTCTTTAAGCTCCATGGGTTGCCGGATACCATTGTCTCTGATAGGGATCCTGCGTTCCTCTCAGAATTTTGGACTGAGTTGTTTAAACTGTAAGGTGTTGAATTACTCCATTCCTCTGCGTATCATCCTCAAACAGATGGCCAAACGGAAGTTGTCAATCGCTGTCTCGAAACATATCTTCGTTGTATGTGTCATGATCAGCCTACTTCATGGAGTAAATGGCTTCCTCTTGTTGAGTGGTGGTATAATACCACCTTCCATACCTCTGCTAGTACGACTCCATATAAGATTTTATACGGGCAACCCCCTCCTCTTCATCTACCTTATTTGCCAGGGGAGTCTAAAAATGTTGAGGTTGATCGCAGTCTCCACCAGCGAGAGAACATGATGAAATCTCTTAAGTTTCATCTGCAGAGAGCTCAAAATAGGATGGTGCAGTTGGCAAACCGACGCCGGAGTGAAAGGTGCTTCAATATTGGGGATATGGTATTCCTTAAGTTGCAACCATATCGTCATAGCACCGTTGTTAATCGCTCGAATCATAAACTCAGTCCCAAGTATTATGGCCCCTATAAAATCCTTGACAAGATAGGTGTTGTTGCCTACAAGCTCGAGTTGCCTGTTGGAGCTTAGATTCATAATGTGTTTCATGTATCCCATATGAAGAAGAGTTATTCGAATGTTGCTGCTTCTGATTTGCCTCCTCTCATGGTTCCTTCTGATGCCCCAAAAGTCCCTGTAGCTATTCTTGATCGTCAGATGGTCAAGCGAGGGAATGTGGCTGCTACAAAGGTCCTGGTCAAATGGCATAATTACCCTCCGGAAGCTGCCACTTGGGAGTTCTATTATGATCTCTGCAAGAAGTATCCTAGGTTTAACCTTTGAGGACAAAGGTTCTTGAGGAGGGGATTTGATGTAGCATAGAAAGTGGCGGGAAATTCTGTTGGGATGCTAGATAGTTATGTTCATTGTATTAGTTGGCATGAGTTGGCGGTTAGTTGAGCTGGCGGTTGGACGAGCTGTAATAAAGACCTTGTACTGAGTCGAATCAATACAGAAAATATACACATACATTCTCGCATTCCCTTCTTCTTCTCTGCTTCCTTCATTTCTTATCTCTGTTCGTGTGGTTTTCTTGTGCTAACCATACCTGCAGGATAATTTAGCAGTTCTCGGAGTGCTTCACAACCTGAGCTGCATCAACCAGCACGTGAAACTAAATCTCAATAACAAGGAAAAATGAAACAGGCTTCATCTAATCTCAGAACAAAAATCTAAACAGTACTTACAAATGTTAATGTATATATCGAAACGATGACTACTTGAAAACCCCATACCTTCCTTTCAAACAGTACTGAAGTATTGAGCCAGTCAGAAACCACGAATGAATAAAAAGGTTAAGGGAAGAACATATCAAATTTAATAGAACAGAAACTATGAAAAAAATGCATACTTACAAAGAGAAAATCGTTATCAAAACTATTCACAAATCTTTAAAACAAACTCTAGAAATAACCTAATCTAATTTCCTTTTAATTGCCTTTTCTCTAGCGCGAAAGGAAGGAAAAACCAAACAAACTCTTGTTTAATCGACAAACCAACCTCTTTATTTATAATTATGGTCGTATACTGGAAAGTGGAAATTTCCGAAATGCCAAATGAATTGCTCCTACCGAGCAAGGGATTACTTTCTTTTTTGGCAAGGATAAACCGGAAATCATTAAACAGCAAGTTAAGGGAACATTTGGATCCCTTTACATGGTTTCTCAAAAAGATTGGTGAGGTTTACCGAGCTGGCACAGCTATTTACAAAAGAGTTATGCCCAGCTCTCTTTGCCCTTTCCCAAAATAACATCCCTGCTTACCTACATGATTTTAATATTTTCAAAAAAAGATAGAAGTTTCAAAATATGGTCATAGAGCGTTTGCTGGTTTCACTGTATTTGGTTGTCTGTCCCTTTGAGCTTCGTTAACACTGCTTTAGCATCTGAAAACAAAAAAACCTATCTTTACACCCATACAAAAAAACTTTCTTAGTCCTATAATCACTGCCCAGAGCTCAACTGTTACTAGGGATCTTGCCAAACATGGTTCTCCTTCTGCAACAATAAGATGAGACCTGTGAGTGAATATATACAAACCAATAGATGTAGTTTGTGTGAATGGGTTTCATTAGCCATCAACAAGAATGATCGGAAATTATGAGGATAAAACTTGTTGTAAATCCTTTTCCGATTGAGGATCTGATGGATTGAGGAGTTTAAGTCCTGATTCTTTGTAACTGTAGTAACTTTCAACCTTTCTCAATATTTGAATGGGATCTGGGTTCACTTTGTTAAATAATTGTTCATTTCTTGCATCCCATATGCTTCTGAAGATAGAACATATCTTTGCAATATAGTTATACTTTATCACTTTATTTTTCAAATAGGAATTGTGCTTCCACCACCACTAGATTAGGTCCACTTGGCCAGAATTCAAAAATATTTCTGGTACCAAACCAACTTGAGCCCGCATCCAGATTTCCCTAGAGAGAGGGCATTGCAGGAAAAGGTTCTCTTGGGTTTCTGGAGAAAATTTACAGAAAGTGCACCCAGTTTCTTCTCTTCTCCTATAGCTCCATATTTTTTTCTTGGTGTGAACAGCTCTATGGAGAACCTTCCACATGAAGATTTGACATTTGTGGGAACATGGACTTTTCCAGATTCCGGGCCAGCTTAGAGGGCTTATTTGTGTTTGGAGTGGAGTTTTAAGAGTGAGTGATAAGCTAAATTTACTGTAAATTCTCCATTGCTTGTATTCTTTCAAAGAAGTCTATCAGGTTGTTACATGTTCATCAGAGGGATACTTAGAATAGCTTCAGTACTTCTTTCTTCAAACAGGCTGTTGAGGAGGTCAGCATTCCAAGTCTGTTGATCTGTGATTAGCTCACTAACTTTCATGTGGAGGAGTTCAGGGCTCTCAATTCTTTTGGCTGGAATGTTGCTCTCAAGTTGAGGCACCCATGGGTCCATAAAAGCTGAGATAAATCTGCCATCTCCAATCTTCTAGAAAAGTGATTTTTTAGTTCATTTTTTAATTTGATAATTCATTTCTACCAAGCGAAGTCTGAGGCTTTTGCCTTTAACTCAAAGAAACATTTATCCTTGAGGTATTTTGCTTCCAATTATTGGGACCAAAAACTGTTCCTGGTGTTTAGGATTCTCCAAACTGACTTTAGCATTAAGGCTTTGTTCATCAAAGAGAATTTTCTTATTCCCAAGCCTCCTAGTGATTTTGGAGAGCAGATTTTTGTCGATTTCAAATTACAGTTTCTTGTTGTGGTTGTACTACCAGCCTACCAGAATTTTTTTTTTTTTTTGCATTCTATCCAAAGTTCTACATAAGGCTTGGGAGAGGAGATTTGTTTGCTTGGTGTACACTAGTATACTCTAGGTAATTGCCTTTATGAGTGTTGTACGGCCTGGTTGGGATAAGATTTTTGCTTGTCAGTGCTCTATCCTTTGGGTAAAGCTGTCTAACAGTTGATGTTTATTGTGGTTTACACCTTTTTCCCCATCTACCAGCCAGGTTCCCAAATACTTTGAGCTGCAATTTATGATTTTCATTTTGACTATACGGCTCAGCAGCTTTTGGTGGGTTCTATGCATGTTTTTGCTAAACATCACACCATATTTTGCAGTGTTAACATGCTGTCCTGAAATCTGCTCAAAGAGCTGGAGGGTGGATTTTATATGGTTGAATGAATCAGGATCTGCTTTGTAGAATTAAAAAAAAAAGTCATTTGCAAACAATAGATAGGTGATGGGTTGTGAATTCCTTGAAAGTTTTATACCTTGGAACTGTGAAAGATTTTCTTCCCTGTTTAGGAGTGTTGAGAGAGTCTACATTCCTATGATGAAGAGGTGAGGTGAGAGGGGATCTCCTTCTCTTAAACCTCTTTTGGTTTTAAAAAAAAAAAACCCATTGTTGTCCCATTGAGTTTGAATGAGAAGTTAAAATTGACACATTTTGGGGTGGTTTTGAGGAAACCGGATCTACTCTCACACCTGGCGCCTCACATGCACATCCTATCATGCATTGGGATCATCTCTCGTACTTATTAGTTATTATTCACGGGAGATGTTCCCAATGCATGGTGGATGTGCCTGTGAGGCGCCCATTTGTGAGGAGCAAATCCCGTCCCGATTTTGAGGAATCTGGATCTGTTCTCAATGGAGCGCATCTCACACCAACCTCACAGCATATCCTGCCACACAGACATCGACTTCTGTCAGGACAAGCCCATGCCCACACTGTTCCAATAACCTTTTTCAACCTTGCATTGAGAATATCTCCCAGTGAAATAATGGAGAGAAGTACGGAAATATTTTTAATGCAAGGCTATAAAGACCAATCAAACGGGCTTTGCCTTGACCAAAGCCGAACCCTGCCATACATTAGTGTTCGGGCACATCTTATATACTTGTATTTATTATTTAAGGAGAGATGTTCTCAATACAGGGTGGGATGTGGCTATGAGGTTGGTGTGAGTAGGGGTGCAACTTGGGCAGGCTTAGCTTGAGCCCGAAGAGTTCTCATTTCCGCCCCACAAACGCCACACACAATGTGTGACTGCCACATGTCCGGTCGCACGTGGTGGGGCGTTCCCGTGTGCGGGGCTAATGGGACAGCCATTATCTTGTCCCGTTAGCCCCAAAACGAGCACACACTTCCTTTCTCCCATACAACGTTTTAAAAAAAAAAAAACGACTCAAATACGAAACCATTTTGGCCACCGGTTTCCAGGTCGACGGTTTGACCATCCAGTTCAAACGGATGGCCCATTTTGACAAATAAATTAAAAAATAAAAAATAATTAAAAATAAAAAAGGGTCAAAATCGTTGAACAGGTCGACAGTTCAATCGCCCAGGTTATTGACTTTTTCAACGGTTTTTGGCCAAATACCGTGTTTGGAGTAAAATGAAACCCGTTGCCTAGATAGTTCCCGGGCTGAACGGTCCGACTGTCTGGGTCAACGGCGAATCGAAAACCTTACTCCCATATTCTCGCCCCCTCAACCTCAAATCGTGTCTGACCCTGACCCTGTTCTACTCCCTCCACCCGAACCCCCAACTCCATCTCAGACAACAGAGAACGCTCCGGCCGATTTACTGTCACCAGGTACGCTCCAACCCTCGTATTTTGTTTTGATAAACCCTCGTCTGATATTTTGTTTTTCATTTTGTTTTCCCCTCTTCCAAGTCACTCTCCGGCACCAGCAATCGCTCCGACCAGTTCACTGTCATCACTTACTCTCTAATAAGAGAAACAAGGCGATCCCCTCATTTGAAACGAAGAAACCAAATACCAAAACCAAATATCAAAACAAAACAAGACGGAGAACTTCCCCCATCTCCTCCATTTCTTCACGTTGCTCACTCTTCTTCTTTTCCTCCTCTCTTCCATCATCTTCTTCCCCAGCCATCGGTCCTTTTGGCGTCATTCCCACCGGCGAGACTGAGATACAATAGCAACATCGACTCACTCACTCGAATCCGGAGAGACCACTGTCAAGGAAAATCTCGAAAAAGGCACCGTGACTCTTCTTCCCCATTCGAACGAAGAAGAGAGGAGGCGGCGGCAGATCCCTCCACCGATCTCTCTCTAATTCTCTCTCTCTCCTTCTTCTTCCTCTTCCCCTTCCAACTCTGCCACTATTCACCATCTTCACAACGAGAATAGAGAATTAGTAGCGGCAGTCCTCCCGTTTTCCGTTTGCAGTCGCCGGAACTGTTACCTTATCCTTAGCTTCTCATCACCATTCTCCTATCCATGATCATCTTCAAACTCGCCAATCATTCGACGCCCTCTGCCCTCATTTTCCTTCCGATCGGACGGGATCAACAATAGGCCTCATCGGATCCCTCTCCTCAGCTCAGGCGAAACAGCATTAACAGTTATCATACGGAAGTCGTCCTCTTCTATTTTTTTTAGCGAAATCAGCAACCTAGACGCACACTCCTAGTTGCAGCGTTAGATTTCAGACCGGAATCCCAATCAAAGTTCCTTGTTTTGCCGACTGTGTTCAGGCCAAAATCTGCCCACGTAAGTCCTGCTTGCGTCATTTTCTTTTTTTATATATACCTCATTTCTTCTCCTAGTTACTTGCCATGAAGTTATAGGCATTGGGCTGGCTCCCGGAGCCAGTGAAGAAGTTCCCTGCCGAACTAGCTTCAGTCAAGTTTCTGACACACCCATCCCTACCGTATTTCACATAGTTCATTCATGGATAATTAGTTACTTATCTTCTTCTTTTTCTTTTGTGTGTTTATCTTTTGTGATTCTGAATAAATATCTTTGTTAGATGTTTTTGAGAAAGAATCAATCAGTTCTCTGCAACTTCTTTTTATCTGTTTTTGTTTTCTCTTCGGATAACGCTTTTGCTTGCCCATGGTGCGTTAGTTTTCTTTTTATTCTTCTGTTCAAGGCTTAAACTCTGTTCAGAATAAGAAGTCTGTGAAGTTTCAAATCATGATGTATCATTCCATTTCAATCAATAGTTCTATCGATCTGTTTCAAAGACCCCCTTCCCCGTTAAATAGGCTAACAGAAAATGGAATTTTACGAAAATACCTTTCATAACTCGAATTCAGATTTTCAAAATGTCAAAAACAGACATCCGCTGAAAAAAACGCTCGCGTAAAAACTCAGCCTGAACCTCTCTGAAACCTAGCCGAAAACCATTCGTTGAATCCATCCCAGTGTCCTTCGTCGGAGATCGCACTATTGCCACACCGAATGTAGAGGAAAGCATTTGTCATCGTCGCGAGAAAGGATCTTGTCGCTGTTGCCGGAGAAGAAGATATTTTTTTGCCATTGTCGGAGAAGAAAGCCTCTTTTCGCTGTCGCCGTTGTCGGAGAAGAAGATCGTCCAATGTTCAATCTCTCTTTAAACATCTCACCAGTAGAAGCTGGAGTGACTTTCTTTTTTAAATCCACTTTGGAGGGGGCGGGGGGCTGCTTCACGTTCCAGGGTTAAGTTTTTGGTTTGGACAGCAGCCATGGGTCTGCTGGTGGATAACCTCAACATGAGAGGTATGGCCTCAACAATATCAACTGCCCACTTTGTGAACAGGCTGAAGAGAACTGTAACCACATTTTCCTTCATTGCAATTACACAAGAAGAATCTGGCATCTTTTTCTCAGTGCTGAGCCATTGGTCTGCTTCAAATTCAGTGGATCTGATATTGAGGTACTGGCAGTCAAAAGGGTCTAAGAAAAAAAGCAAGTTCTGTGGGCTTGTATTTCTTGCACTGTTTTGTGGGTGGCTTGCTTGGAAAGAAACACTCACTTTTTTGAACAAAAGAAGAGAGTCCTGTTGAAGCAGTGATTAATTCTTGCATTGAGCTGCTGTCTTCATGGCTTACAAATACATGTTTTATGCCTTTAATCACAGGAATGCACAGAAATGATGTACTGTCTTTCGACTATTTTTTGAACTTTTGGCACTCCACCTTGTTTGGTTTTACATATTCTCATGGTATTGGGCTGCTTGTACAGTTTTTTGAGTAATTCCAGTACTTTTACCTTACCTTCAAAAGTAAAAAAGAAAAGAAGATGGGCCTTATCTACAACTGTTCTTTTGATGTGATCAACTCTGTTTTACAGATCTGGTTTAGTCAACTGAACTCATCCTACACTGGTTGACTATAAGAATGACCAAAACTGGGTTACAACATCCAATGATTACCTTGTACTTTCTGGAGGTGGTACTCAATTAAGGGCTGTTTGATTGTGAGACCAAAACTGAGTTCATGATGTTCAGAATTTAACTCTCATCTTCATCTATTCTTTTATTTCAATATCCCTTTCATATGCATCCATTCAAGTAAGTGAAACAGGGGAATTTCTTAAATCCTTGTCTAATTAGAATTTCAACTGTTTGTCTAGAAACTTGGACACTTCTATCTATCTTGATGTAAAAGTTATCTGTTTAGGTGAAAAGAGAAATTATGATCTCCACTGTACAATTATTTTAACAACACAAAATCATGATATTTGAACAACAGACGAAACTGTGATGAACCCATCTGAGCAGTTTTGAAAGGCATGCCTTCGACTGAAACGTTATAAATCCAGTTCTGCAATGTTCTGAATCCAGCATTACGCTTTTGAAAGGCATGCCTTCGGATTGTAACTCGGACGAAACTCGTGCAGATGTGATAATCCTAATACAACCGAAGTGAAAAAAGAAACCAAGGGATAACCCCTGATATTGATCACTCACCGAAGTACGAACTTGCGACTGAAACTGGTGAGGAAAAATCCCTTATAATAATGATTGCAAGAGGTGAGAAAACATATAACTCAAAAGAGGGTTAAAAGTATTCGAAATATTATTTTAAGGGTAGTATGGAGATTAAACAAAATTGCAACAGCAGATTTTGGACGGAATGCTAAGGAAAAGGGGTCTTTGTCGCAAAACAAAGTACAGGGGTTTTTGCCACAGACCCCATAGTACGGGGGGTCTTTGTAATTTACCCTTTCTTCTTTGTTGGTTTATTTTTAGTTTGTTATTTTCTTTATCATCACTATTGTCTATTAATTATGTATTTGTGATTATGCTCTCTTAAGACACCATGTGGGCCCCACTTATTGGACCCGGGAGAGGGTGCCTAACCTCTTCCCTCTCCTATCCGAGTCTTACCCAAACTGGTTAATCGGTGCCTCGGGCATTGGAGTCACTATCTAAACAAAAACCTTTTTTGAAAATCATTCTGAGAGGTCCCATCACCTCCTTTTCATCTACTTGATGGGTGGCAACCGTTTCTAGTCCAAGTGGCAAGTGAGCCGGTTTTTCCGATGCTTACACCAAGTACTCTCCAAATCAGAGAAACAAGGTGCCCCCCTGATTTGAAATGAAGAAATCAAATATCAAAACAAAATACGAGGATTGGCGAGTACTTGGTAACAGTGAACCAGCTGGAGCGATTGCCAGTGTCAAAGAGGGAGTTAGAAGAGGGGAAAAAGTTTCTGTGGTTCGAAACGAAAAACAAAATATTGAACGAGGGTTTCTCTATTTTGAAATGAAAAAACCAAATATCAAAATAAAATACGAGGGTTGGAGCGTACCTAGTAACGATGAACTAGTCCAAGCAATCGTCGTTGCCAAAAATGGAGTTGGATCTGAGCTCGGGTGGTAGGGAGTAGAACGGGGTCAGACAATTTGAGGCAAGGTTTTCAAACCGCCGTTGACCTAGACGATTGGACTGTTCAACCTGAGAACTGTCCAAGCAACTAGTTCCGTTGACCCAGGCAGTCGAACCGTTAACCCGTTTAACGGTTTTGACCATTTTTTATTTTTTATTTTATTTGTTAGAATGGGCCATCCATTTGAACAGGACAATCAGACCATCGACCCAAAAAACAGTGGCTGAAATGGTTCTGTTTCCGTGTCGTTTTTTTAAATGTTGATTTCAAGTTGTGGGAATATGGGAGAAAGGAGATTTGGGCTCATTTTGGGGCTAACGGGACAAGCTAATGGTTGCCCCATTAGCCCCGCACGCGGGAATGCCCCATCGCATGCGACTAGACATGAGGCAGTCGCACATTGTGTGGGGTGTTTGTGGGGCGACAAGCGGTGGGGTGGAGATGCAAACTCCTAACATAGTGGCACGTAGATGTGCTAGAATTTCTCGTCTTTTGCTCGCTTTTTACGCTCCCATACATTCATAGTTTCGCAGAGTTCGCATCTTCGCCCCACACAACGTGCGACTGCCACATGTCCAGTCGCACGCGGTGGGGCGTTCCCACGTGCGGGGCTAATGGGACGGCCGTTAGCTAGGGGTGTCCACGATTCAGTTAACCAAACCATGGGCAGTTTTTGTAAACCGAACCGGTACCACCAGTTTTTTCATTTCCCCAAACCAAAACCGAATCGATACCACCGGTCCATCGGTTTCAGTTTTTAACCAGTTCGGTTCTTTGGTTTTTCAATTTTATATTTATAATATATATTATATAAATATATGTATAATATTATATTATAAATAATAAATGATATATAATATATTATAAAAGTATATAATATATATAAAATATTTATAAATAGATTATTATAAATATAATATATGTATATATTTATATATATATATATATATAATGAATATATATTTATATAAAATATACATATAAATATATATACCATCGGTCGATTAATCGCCAATTTTTTTGTAAGTTAACCGAAAACCGAACTAGTCCTTCGGTTTTTCAAAAATACCGAATCGATCAGTTAGGTTAACCGCATTTTCCGGTTCGATTTGGTTTTTTGGTTTTTCATGGACACCCCTACCATTAGCTCGTCTCGTTAGCCCCCAAACGAGCCCAAACTTCCTTTCTCCCATACAATGTTTTAAAAAATGACCCGAAAACGGAACCGTTTTGGCCACCAGTTTCCAGGTCGATGGTCCGACTGTCCGGTTCGAACGGATGGCCCATTTTGATAAATAAATTAAAAATAAGTAAAAACAAAAAAAAATGATCAAAATTGTTGAATGGGTCGACGGGTCGACAGTTTAACCGCCCGGGTCAACGGGTTGTTGACTTTTAACAGTATTTTGCCAAATACCGGGTTTGGAGTAAAATGAAACTTGTTGCCTAGACGATTCCCGGGCCAAACGGTCCGACTGTCCGAGTTAACAACGGTTCGAAAACCTTGCTCCCTTATTCCTGCCCCCTCAACCTCAACGGTCCGACCATCCGGGCCGAACAGTCAACGGGTTCCGTGGTTTTTGGCCAAATACCAGGTTTGGAGTAAAACGAAACCCATTGCCTAGACGGTTCCCAGGTCGAACGGTCCAACTGTCTGAGTCAACGGTAGTTCAAAAACCTTGCTCCCATATTCCTGCCCCCTCAACCTCAACAGTCTGATCGTCCGAGCCGAATGATCAACCAGTTCCGTGGACTCGGGCGGTTGAACCGTCGACCCATTCAACGGTTTTTACTGCTTTTTATTTTTAATTTTTTAATTTATTTGTCAGAACGGCATGTCCATTCGAACTGGACAATCGGACCGTCGACCCGAAAAATGGTGGCCAAAACAGTTTCGTTTTTGGGTTATTTTTTAAAACGTTGATTTGAGGTTGAGGGGGTGGAAATATGGGAGAAAGGAGGTTTGGGCTCATTTTGGGGCTAACGGCCATACCATTAGCCCAAGACGTGTGAATGCCCCACTGCGTACGACTGGACATGTGGCAATCCCACGTTGTGTGCGGCGACAGACGGTGGTAGTCGCCTAGTGACAGTGAACTGGCCAGAGTGATCGCCTATGCCAGAGATAGAGTTGGATCCAAGCTCGGGCGGAGAGTAGAACGGGATCAGACACGATTTGAGGTTGAGGGGGTGAGAATATGAGAGCAAGGTTTTCTAAACCGCCGTTGACTCGGATGGTTGGACCGTTCGGCCCAGGAACCATCTAGGCAACAGGTTCTGTTTTACGCCAAACCCGATATTTGGCAAAAAAACGTTGAAAAAGTCAACAACCCATTGACCTAGGCGGTCAAACCGTCGACCTCTCGACTCATTCAACAATTTTTTACCATTTTTATTTTTAATTATTTTTTATCTTTTTATTTTATGTTAGAACGGGCCATCCATTCGAACCGGACCGAATCGTTGACCCGAAAACCAATGGCCAAAACGGATCCATTTCCGGATCATTTTTTAAAATGTTGTATGGGAATCGCACGTTGCATGGGAATGCCCCACCGCATGCGACTGGACATGTGGTAGTCGAATACGACAAATAGTGAGGTATGGTCTGACCATTCAGGAATAACCCTCGATTACACATGTTTTCAAGTTGGATTTGGGCTGGGTTTCACCGGTTATTAACAGAAAATGTCCGGTTCGAATTAGACTTTGTTCATGGACAAGGCTGGGACCTAGGAATGGCAATGGGGCGGGGTGGGGACGGGGAGCCTCTCCCCATCCCCGCTAATGGGGACAAGGTTATCTCCATCCCCATCCCCATTCCCACGGGGATCCTTATCCCCGTGGGGATCCCCATTCCCCGTGATTCTTTATAATGCTAATCATTTTGTTTTTGTTTTTTATTTTATTTAAAAAAATAAAAAAATAACTAATATTTACAATCATAGTAGAAAATATTCAAACATATTCAACCATATTTTTTAAAATATTAATATATAGATGTATGTTTACATATTTACATATATAATGTATGCATACATAAATATACATATATATTAGTGAGGATCCTATGAAGCGGGGATCGGGGTCCCCGCTGCCCCATTCCTGCTAACGGGGATGAAAATTTCCACATTCCCATCCCCACGGGGGGAAAATCATCACCATCCTTGCCCCATTCAGGGCGGATCCCCACGGAGATCGGGGAAATGAGGAAAATTGCCATCCCTACTAGGGCCTAGGTTTTGTCAAAATTTGAATGAGCCTAACTCAAAAGCAATGTAAAATATTCATGGATCGAATCTCAAGCCTGACTCATCATATCTCAACTATTTGCAGGGGTGTCCATGAAAAACCGAAAAACCAAACTGGAAAATATGGTTAATCGAATCAATCAATTCGGTTTTGGTTGGTATTTTTCAAAAACCGAAGGACCGGTTTGATATATATATTTATATGTATATCTTATATATGTTTTAAATATATGTCACACATATATATATAATATTTATAATATATTATATATCATTTATTATTTATAATATAATATTACACATATGTTTATATAATATATATTATAAATATAAAAACCGAAACCAGAGCGATTAACTAGTGGTACCGGTTCGGTTCGGTTTGGAGAAATTGGAAAACCGGTAAAATCGATTTGATTTGTAAAAATTGTCCACGATTCGGTTAATCGAACCGTGGACACCCCTAATTTGCACCTAATCATTATTTACAAAGTAGTATTTTACAACCAAAGATTATACCATTATACACCCCTGTCCGATTAGAGATGGGGTGCGACAAGTACCTAACTAGAATTTACATAGCATCCCATTCAAATGTTGGAAAATGCTCAACCTGAATCGGCTCAAATTGAATCCCTAGATCCTAATTAAAGGACTTTTTTCCTAATATATGGTGGAACAATCCCAAACAAATCAACATTCTTGGTGGTACTTTTGGATCAAATCAATTGATTTTTCGATGATTAGGCCATGTTCAGGATATGAACAAGCCATCCAGATAAGCACGGGAATGCTGCTGGAATCATACATATGGCCTGGATCACCAGTAATAAATTCGATTCCAGAATAACTTTCAATAGATTAGCTGTAGGCTATCAATGTATTTCTTCAACGGAGAAATACTATAGCTAATTAGCTAATTAGATGCCTTCTATTATCGCCAAATATCAGCTCTCCCCACAATAAAATTACCATCATGATCTGTAAACACACCCATACCGCCCTCAGATTCCTTTCGAACTCTTTCTACACTAATTTTCAGTGTCTTCAATCCGTTGATCCAAAGGGTTGAATCATTTGAACCATCATTGAACCATGATTTTAGAACATTGCTAATTTTACGAAGACACACAAATGCTGTCAACAGGATTTTCCCTTCTGGATCTTTGCACAACATGGTTTGAAGACATTTCTCATATGAATTGATCATTTATGATTATATAATATTAACAATTTATGGTCCTCAACCTTCAGCAACTTAAGTCGTCTATATACACTTTCTGAGAATACATTTGATAGACAAAAGAACAAATGAATCACAGCCAACAGTGCGCATATTGTGTCTCGTCTATCTCCCTCTAAGACAATCACCTTTAACGCCTTGCTGACATTTGCTTCTGCTTAAGAGCTTGAATTTGCTTCCCACTAGATTCGATGGGTTGAACTGGCTTACCAATGCTATTTCCGTACTCTTGCTTGAGCTCTTCCAAACGTTCGGACACCTAAAGATTTAATCAAAAAAGCCACATCAAGAAAAGTAACCAATAAAAGTCATGCCCAAATGATAACAGAAAACGCAAAACTACAAATAAAAACATTATCCAGATGCACCAATATTTCAGTTTCTTCCTATTCATCAAAAAAAAATATTTCAGTTTCTTCCTTAGGAGCACTAAATTCATGAATTTAATATTTATAGACTGGGGAGAGGGCAGATGTTCATTCAAATACCTCTATCTAGATTAGGGCTGCAAGTTAGGTTGCCCGACCTGAAGAATTTCAACTACATCAAGCTCGGGTTAGGGTTCGGGCCCATTGAACATTTAACAAATTCCCAACCTGACCGGACCCAAGTGCACCCCTAATCTAAATTCATGTACTATTTTGCTAGAACAAAAGTTTCAAGACAGAGAAGGATGACAAGTCTATAGAAACCATAGATGTGGATGCTAAGAGCTACTCCTTTAGGTTGATTTTCCCTGCTCAACAAAAGCTGAATTGATGTGATTATTGATTAAGCTTACCTCATGATCTAAATTCTAAGGCTATAATCTGTCCTCTTCCAAAACCAATGATTATCAGGAGAGCATGAACAGAGATCTCCTCAGTAGGACAAACAAGACAGGTGAAATTTCAAAACACTATTAAAAGGTATACTGATACCAGAATGACAGCACACAGTGCATCCATGAATCTATGGTGTGCACACACACCCGCAAGAAAAAGAAGTAGAGAGAACCTTGATTGAGTAGGCCATTGGTAAAAGTATATCTGGATTCATTGCATCCTCGGGGAAGTTACGCAAAGCATGTAGTAGCTTCTCAAAAGGTAATTTCACCTGATCAACCAAATTTTCTTAGTTACAAATAAGCACTATTAGGATATCAACCCTAAATGATATGCAAGTAAACAAGAAACTCACCAAGTCATCTTGACAATATTTCAATAGAGCCAAACCAACTTGAAAAACAATCTTAACACCCTGTGTCAAAATTAAACAAGTTCTGAGGAAAGGATACTTTGGTTGATCTAAATTAAGATAAAATAAAAATAATAAAATTACACTTATGAATTTTATCCCATTTGCTGATTATTACTATAAAAGAATATAATAATTCCTTCAAGATGGTAACAAAGTAGAGTGGTACATTTGTATTGTGCACAAGGATCAACTAATACATTTTTTTATGGGTAAACTGATGAGAAGTTGGAGAGCTTTAAGAAAAGAATCATTGTTTTCAGAAAAAGCATCTATCATATTTGTGCATATGCATTAAGGGATTAGGAAGTAAACAGCTTTCCCTTTTTTCTTGAAGATAATGCTTATTTTTTTTTCAGATATAAGCTTATGAAATTATTTTCTGCTCCTTTATGTGCAAATAAGCTTAACCTAAAAGCACTAACCTACTCACTGTTCATTGAGTTATATACTTTTCCAATATAGCACTGCTTTGTCTGATACACTGACAGTGTAACACTTTCTTCTTTTTCCCATGCATTGAATTGGTTTTGCATAATTGGTCTGGAATAAAAGCTAAAACCTTTTCTACCAATTCTAAGATTCAAATATATCTGGAAGAAGCAAAACAATATGTGGAGGAACTGAGGAAGATGATGACAACGAGGAAATGCTTCTGTTGATGACTTATAGCCAACATTTTGGCCATTCAAAAATTGGAGAATCAGTGAAAGAGTCCAGAATTTGACACTAAGATACTAATGGTTTCATACTTCATCTGAGATGCTTTATCAGCCTTCTTTAGTATCTTGTTTTTTGTTAAATATTTTATTCTTTAATTACTCTCAGTAAACTTTGCCCTTAATTTTTTGTACAATCAATTCTCTCTGTTTCTTTCTTCTCTCTCCTTAATTTTCTTATCTTGAGAATGCTCTATTGGCACTTTGACCACACTGCAAAAGATAAAGCAACAACATAGAAAACACATACGATATGCAGTATTACCTCATAAAGAAAGACATCCCAGATTCGAAGAGCCAAATGGAAAGGAAATGAATATGAGAATACAGTTATGAACCATTGGCTTGCATACATGGTTGGATTTATCATTTCTTGGCTGAAGTGCTCTCCTAGCTTAGGCAGATGCTCTTTGACCAATTGCTCAAACTGAAAGAGGTATTGTTGTACAAGCGGCAAGCCCACCTACTCCACAAGCATTAAGTAAGCATTCTAAGAACAGAAGAAATGCAAGCTGTGCAGTAAGAAAGAAGAAAACAAATGAGAAGGGAAAAAATTCTTTCAGATAATATAAAACTGTAGCCAGCTTAGCTTCTGTTCATTACTTGAAATCAAGTAAAATGGGAGAAATTTTTAACATAACCACCAGCAGGACTTTTTTTTTGATAGGTGAATGAAAATATGAAATTTTACTAGAACGCTTCAAAATATCATCATTACAAGCAACCCAAGGAGAGGTTCAAGGAGCACCCTCACCCAAACAATACAAGAAAAATTACATTACAAATTTTTCCCAAAACAAGATATCCCTGTTAACCCCTTGTTTGCCAACAAATCTGCCATCTCATTAGCTGATCTTTGTACCCATTGAAGTTTTAGGACATTTTCCTGGCTATCCAAATAAATTTCTTCATTAAATCACTGTATGCCCAAATAACTGTCTCCGCTTTTTCTAACCATCCCATCACCCATTTGGATTCCCTTTCAATGAATAATTTCTCCAAATTTAAATCTTTTTCTATCTAAACCCCTTGGATTACAGCAAGAAACTCTGCTCTAACAGAATAATCCCCCACGCCCAATAGACCTGAGAACAAGGCAGCAATGTTACCATCAACATCCATGAAAACTCCTAAGTCCTACCCTTGAAGGACTGGGATTGCCTTGGCTGCTCCCATCAAAATTCAGTTTTATAAAGTCTTCAGTAGGGGTCAGTAACTCATATTCTCCACCTTCTTTCTTGATGAACTTCTTGCTACTTCACCCCAACTTCTCCAAATATCATCAAGGAAACATGTGCAAAGGTTTCCTAATCAATGTATTGCCCTAGTCACCAGATACTCCTTCACTGCCTCCTAACCTCTTTCCTTCTCATGAAAAATTCTTGCATTTCATTCCTCCCACACAGACCACAACACAGCTACCCTTGTGTAACTCCATTGCCTCCCAATCACCAGCAGGACTTCAACTAATGGTACTCCTAGGAGAATGTAAAATGTCTCCAGTTATTTGGCACAAGTTTTTTTTTTTTTATAAGTTTGGCACAAGTTAATCTTCAAGTATAATAGCCTACTACTTTGCAATTGCAACATATAAGAATTGTTGGTCGAAGATTAACTTTGAAAAGAGTTGTGTGGTGGGGATGAATTTGGAGTAGGAGGAGTTGAGCCGAGTAGTAACGTCCTTAGGCTGCCCTACTTCTAGCTAGCCTTTGACTTACTTGGGAATACCATTAGGAGATAATCCAAGGGAAGATAGACTTTGGAATCCAATTGTAGAAAAGTGAACAAAGAAGTTGGCAGTTTGGAAGAGAAATTACATCTCCCTTGGAGGTCATATCACCTTAATAAAGGCTGCTTTAGCAAATCTTCCAGTCTACTTTCTCTCAGTCTTTAGAATGCCACAAAGGGAGATTTTAAAGGCAGAGAAAATTATGAGGGATTTCTTGTGGGAGCCGGGGGGAGGAAGGATCATGTGGTTAGGTGGGAACTAGTATGCAAAAGTAAGGAGCAGGGGATTTGGGTTTAGGTAATTTAAGGAAAAACACAACTTTACTAGGTAAATGGCTGCAGAGGTGACCTCTGGAGAGGGAAAGACTCTTGGCACAAAGTTGTAAGAAGTGTTCATGGTGTGGCGGTAATGGTTGGGATGCTGATGTATCACACTCAACTCCCCTAGGAAGGCTATTCATAGTAATTTTCCTCCTTTCTTGAACTTGATCAAGCATGATGCTTGCACTAGAGATAAGGTTCTATATTGGGAGGATGTTTGGGTTGGTAACTCTACCCATAAGAACCTTTTTCCTTCCTTGCATTCCCTTTCATGTTTTAAAAATGAGCCAATTTAGAGGTTTTCATCCTTCTCCGTTTCCTCCAGTCTAAACTGGAATTTGGGCTTTAGGAGAGATTTAAGGGATTTTGAGCTTAACCAGGTTGTCTTGTTCCTTAAAACTCTTGAACCAATTTGTTTGGACCCCTCCTCTGCTGGGTTCCTTCTCCTTTGCCTCTAAAAGTGGGAGCCCTATGTTGGGAAGTGTCTCTTGGAAAAATTAACACTTTGGATGTCTTGCAAAAAAGAAGACCTGGTCTTTGCATCTCCCCAAACAGGTGTGCCCTCTGCAAAAGCAAATGAAAAAAGTTATTACCATTTACTAATCTCTTGCCCTTTTGTTGTAGGCCTCTAGGAGAAGCTTTTTGATCTTTTTGGGTGCAGGTGGACAGAACCAAGGCAGATCTACAATCTCTTTGACCCCACAACCATCAGGTGGCCAAAGAAAAGAGGTAGTCTTGTGGAGGTGTGCAAGAGCTGCTTTGGTGTGGACTGTTTGGGAGGAAAGGAATGCCAGAATCTTCAATGATAAGGAGAGGGATGAGACTAGTATATGCGTAAGTATCCTAAATAAGGCCATAAGTTGGGCAAAGTCACTGGACCTGTTTCAACCCTTTTTCTTTGATGATATATGGAGGAATTGGGAGCAAATTTCCAAAAGTTCTGCTGTGAGAATTAAGCCTCTGGTGGAGCGGAAGCTTTTTGGAGAAGGTGTTATTAAATAAAATTTTGATGGCAGCAACCTAGGTAACCCAGGGCTGTTCGGAATTGGAGGAGTATTCAGAAATGCCGAGGACCAGATCATAGCTTTATATTCTGGTCCTATTGGTCAGGGAGATTCAGTTAATGCAGAAGTCCAAGCTGTTCTAAAAGGAGTAGAGATTGCTAAGGAGCTTGGAATGGAACAATTAATCATTGAAGGTGACTCTAAACTGGTTACTGGGTGGTTAAAATAGCCGGAGACTGCAGCCTGGTTCTATAGATGGGCTTTGAGAAGGTTCAGATGGTTAACATCAAATATATCAGTCACAGCTCAATGGGAAAGAAGATCAGCAAATGGGTTGGCAGATCCTTTAGCTAAACATTGGGTACATAGGAATCAGCTTTTTTGGGCTTAGTTGTGAGCTTTATGATATATAGTTTAGAGGCGGCACCCTGCGTCTCTTTGTGGGGTTTTGTAATATGTATCCTTTGTGATCTTATTAATAAAATCATTATAATTATCTATCAAACAAAAATAAATAAGAATTGCTTGTTAATGGTAGGGTTTAAAGAACAAAGTCCGTAAATGCGATTACTTTTTTGGTAATAAAATAAAATTTATTAAAGGAAAAAAGAAAAAAGAGAAAGATGACCAGCTCCACCTTACACCCCCCCCCCAAAAAAAAAAAAACCCTTAAAACCATCCAAACACCGCCAACAAACTTAACCAACAGAAAACATAGCTATTCCGCCTCACTATTACAAAAACCTTCTTATTTCTCTTCATAACTTTTTTGGATTCCTTGACCTTTTTTATAGGCCCAATCCTATATAAACCTTATTTCTCTTCAAAAATAGTGATAACTTCTAGCAACAGGAGAAGAGGGAAGAGATCTTATTCATTATGTTATCACTTGTTCAACCATAAAACCTAGCCATGGCTTTTGAAGTTGTAAAGATTAAGTTTTTGTAAATCTGTAGTTATTGAGATGCAGAGGCACTTGTGCCATGTCCAATTTTTAAACACTTTAAATACTAAACTAGTGTTTGTGCTACCCCATGCACTTGATATTCTTTCAATTCCTGCAATCCATCCTCTCTTTTCTTCTTCTCGTTGTCTATGACAGATAACACAAGTAAATGTCTTTTGTTTCAAGTCAATTGTAGTCAACTGTATTGTCTATTAGTAAACACATCCAACTTGGATATTTAATATTTTAATTTTCTCAAAGCAATATTTTCCATCTTCGGGGTTATCCCCTCAAGTTTTTGCAGCTAAGGTATGCAACAAGGACATGTCTTTAAAATAAAAGAAGATAAAATAGCTTTTTTTTTTAATTTTCAAGATAAAGTAGGTTCAGTGCTTAATAAGCATTTTTAGATTATACATAGAATTTGGGAACCATTCTTCTCTTTATTTGGGTATAGGTGGATTCCTCCTTTGGATGTGGCCAGCTTGTTCTCCTCATCAACCTTTACATGGCCAAGGAAGAGAGGAACAATTGTGTGGAGATGCACTAGAGCAGCCTTTTTTTATCAGTAATCAGTAATCAGTAATCAACTCATTAAATTACTGGAAAAGCATTACAATGCGTATTCGAACAGAGAGAAAATTAAAATTCAAGCTTGACAACTCCTATTACAAATCTGTCCAGAATAATTGATCCCTATACACCCCTTGTTTTGCCAAGCAGTCAGCCTTCCCATTTGCTATTCTCTTCACCCATCTGAAGTTTGTCTCTAAGTCCTTTCTCATGCTCCTGATTCTTCTTATTAGATGTCTTTTGCCATGCACTAGAACAGCAGTTGTTTGGACAGTTTGAGAGAAAAGATGCAAGAATTTTCAAAGAGCAAGAAAGAAGCAAGGAAACTTTAATCGAGAATGCATTACAATACGGGTAGCACATTGGATAAAATCCTTACCTTGGATGCCTTCTCATCTTTCTCATCTTTCTCTTTTGACGAGAATGCATTACAATGGGGGGGGGTGGCTGCATAGGTAATAGACAGTGGACATGGGAGGTGTACCTAGGGATGAAAAAGGCCAAGCAAAGGCTTTGTTCTTGGGCCCAAATGGAGTTGGAAACTCTACAAGGGTAGAACTCATAACCATTATTCAAGGGGTGCAGCTAGCAAAGGACTTGAATTTTAACAAGATAGTCATTGAAGGGGACTCAAAATTGATGATTAGTTGGCTGAAAAATAGTGACAAAGCATTGAGGTCCAACTATCCAACAAAAATGAACTGCGAAGATTTACATGGATGGAAAGGAACATGTATGTTAAAATTCAACGGGTAAAAAGATCGACTAATAGCATGGCTGATGCTTTACCTAAACAAGAGGCTACTAGAGAGCAAACATTTGGGTCTCAATTGCAATAGTATGGATTTTGGGAGTGGCAATTTAGGGAAAAGACAGGTTTCCCTTTCTTTCAAACCAGACAGCCTAAAGATCTCTTACAAGCCATGTACATTTCTGTTCGTTGTTGAAGTGCCTTCTTTTAATTTTTGGCATGAACAGGATTAACAATGATACACTTGTAGCAAACCCAGTGGAAATCTGTCTCATACCACACATTGATCGGTTCTCCTTGAGCACTAGAAATTATCATATTATCCAGCAATACCCATCCAAAGAGCTCCAAATCACAAATATTTATGAGGTGATTGCCAGGTTCTTTCCTTGCCGTAACTATATGGGGTCTGCTACATGAGTCCCGTTTTGCCATTCAATTCTGTTCAGGGCCATATCCAACATTAAATTATGGGCACTTAAATCATTTATTACTTCCACCCTAGTCCATTTTGGTATACCCCTAAATCTTCTAGCCCCTTCAACTTGTAACAGATCACTTTTTTTCTGACAGGTGTTGTAAATGGTCTTCTATGCATGTGACCATACCATTTCAACCTATCCATCTAAGCATTTGCATTTCTGCCACACTCATTTTTTGAAAATACTGTTTCTTAACTGCCCAACAATCTACACCATACAACATAACTGGCCTTGCAACTGTTTATCCTTTTAGCCAAAGTGTTGGGCAGTTAAATGACCAAGGGAATTTTTAGATGACCCCATCAAAATACTATCATCACAATGAACAAGGGAACTCATAGATGCATTTTATAGTTAAAAATACCAAAATATTTCAATAAAATTAATGAAACTAACAACACAATTTTATAGTCATATCATACAGGTGTTTTGTAGACATATGTATGCATAGGCAATGAATATTGCTTTGAGAAGATAAGATCATAGCAGCAATTTAGAATGTTTATCAGAGCAGAATTTGTTTCTTATTGCAGAAGATACTCTAATCAATATCTATTAATTCTCCAAGTAAAAGAAAGGATCCCACAGAATTGCATCTTCTATATGGGGAAAAGGTTGTACAGAAGCTCCTAGGTCAATTACACAACATCTAGGCCATAATGCAATTCTGAGGATCAAATGAATATATGACTCATTTAGGACAAACAATTACCATCCAAAATAAAAGAATTACTGCATATACCACCTAGAACCTACAAAGCATAATATGCAATTAAAAGCATAATCAAAGCTATAAATGGTTCCACCATAAGAATTGAAAGAAATCATAAAAAAAAGCATTTTCCAGTAAGTTTTTGTAAGTAAACAAAGCATAGTCAGACAATGAAATCACAATCTTCTCTATATGGTGCAGTTACCAAATAGAGTCCTTCCATTGGAGCATGAACAGCACCCTTTAACAAAGCAACCAATAGCCAAAATGCATCTTCTTCACTCATATATAGAAGTAAAAGTCCAGCTAAAAATCCCATCCCCTGCATTTCCAACAGTTTCATATCAATCAAGGGTATTTGACAAACTTGAAACTAAAAAGCAATCTATATTATGGACTAAATGGAAGTCTAGACATTAGGACAAGGTTTAATAGAATCAAACCTGAACATATCCAACATCTCTGTCATACACAGAGTATGCCTTTAGGACATTGTAAAGTGATCGCTGACCTGGTCCATGTCTCTGCTGAAAGAAAACATGTGAGGGAAAAGTACGAGAAATATCTCGAATTATGTCCAATTCTGAGGCCGATGTCTCATATATAACCAGTTGCTGCAGTAGAAGCACCACTTGATTAGGGCAATAAAGGCAACAGATTAATTTGGCAAAGAAAGGATAACAGTATCAACAAGAATATTAGCCATCAACCCATTGAAGAATCATTATATAACAAAGGCAGAAGATCTGGTTTCCAAATCTGACTTGCCTAGTCTTCTAACATAGTTCATTTACCAGCTCAGACTCACACAACAGGAAAGTCCACCAGAGTGAAGAATGAAAGAAAGTGTTCTTCTCAAAGAAAAGAGGATCTAGTTCTGGTAAAATGGAAAAAAGCAAAATAGCCAGATCAGAATTCTATGAAGAATCCCCCATGCCACATTAAATGGAATTAACAAGAAATTAGTCTATGATAAGGTGCATTAGAGGTCTGGAGCAGATGAAGCAGGAACCCTAGCCTGCAGCACTACTGAACAAATCAAATTAAAGGTTTGGGGGTATTTTAAGGCATAAAACCTTTTAACAGTTGTTCCATTTCTTTCAGACCACCTCTGAAGGTGCTTTCCAAGAGGCAGAAGATGTTCAAACCACCCTATTACAATCTCACACAATGAAGGAACCTTACTTTCCCACTTCAGAAGTAGTACTTACAGTAGAAAGGAAGGTTTCAATGACTTGAAAAGTGTACTTTACTTGTACCATGGAGAAACTAACATGCAATGTCAACACTCTTGTGCAAGTTTCTGGGATTAGCTTCTCAGATTTTATCTGTTGCATTTATCTTCTGCAGTCTCCTTCATTGATTCATGGGAGCTTTCCCATTTTCGTTATATGAACAAATCTGTGTTGATTGTGTCACTGAAAAAACGGGGAGGTTAAGAAGGTTGGTGGTACAAGAAAATTGAGGACGAAAGGAGAAAGTATAAAAAAGACAATTACCCAATGTTGGTCTCAGCTTTCTGAGAGGTCTTGGGAGGGGTAGATTGGATACAGACCTAACCTTTGGCTTTTTTTTTTTTTTGCATAAAGTGGCTACTCTCAAACTTGAACCCAAATTCCCACGCTTGGCAGCCCAAGATTTTACCATTACGCCAAGCAATAGCCCCTATGAAAGGAGAAACCAAGCAAGTATGATTGGTCTAAATAAAGCAGGAACCTAGACATGAATATTGAAGAGGAAGAACTCCAAAGAACCAGAACTAGATCCATGAAGACAATTCCAAAGAGAAGAAAAGGCAGAAAAAGAAAAAAAAAAAAGATGAACAGAATCTTCTAGCATTTTTTATCAGCCTTCTAGCCTAATAATTTTTTCCTCAAAATAGCAAAGAGTGGGAAGCAAGCCATAGCAATAAGCTCACTTCCTAAATGAGACACTGAGATATTCACTAACATTCTCAGATTAGATAAGATACAGTTCCAGGGAGCTAAATTCAGATTCAGATGAACTGTGCACATTCTGGGATAGGGAGGACATTTTTGTATAGTGACAGCTCCATTCCCACACACATGTAGTTCTTGTAGTAGGTATACCTTTCTATCTGTATTCTGTACATCATTGTATATCCTCTGAATTGTTCATCTGATTTTTTATATATATTCATTGCCTTCTCTCAAAAGCAAAGATATGGAAATTTATTTAATTCAACTCCAACAGATAGGAGGCTCCAGGTGAAAAGTATGAGAGCTTTGTATAGACAAACTAAATAAGATTCATAAAACTTGTAATAGTCTTGCTGAAAAATTGTACAGTGCATAGCTGCATAGTTTACACCATTCGACAAGTAAGAGGAGCCAGGGTTTATATCAACATTTCATGCAAGACACTATTCAGAGTAATAGGCATCCTAAACAAAATAAAACATATGGTGTAAAGAGTTCCACTCATAAACCTAAACTTGGCAGCACTGCCAATCCAACATACCCATCAAAAACATTCCTAGCTTAGGTTACCTACATAACTTGCTTAGATCCCAAAAGTTTATAGGTTTTTTTGGAAGTTTAAGCAACCTTAATATCAGAAATGATCCCTTTTTTTTTGAAAAAGCAATTTATACAAAGGACCCTAGATATCTTGAAAACATAAGCCTTTTATTAGGAAGCATAAATCAGAAACCAATGTAAAGTATATTATAGGCATAGCTTACATGCAAACAATGAATTCATATGACATGTTACAAGACAAAAGTACAACTTAACAAGTAAATCTTATTAACAAATTATGAATTCAAATAAGAAGAATTAGCACCTCATAAACCCCAGGATTCATTAATAGGAGGTCCCGACTTCCAGAGATCAACTGCCAAACAAGGCCCCTTAAACAATCAGGAATCCCCTTTCTGATGCGCCTTTTGACTACATGAGGTTTTCGTCTAACATAATGTTTCCAGTCACTTCCACCAACCCCGATCATTTTCCTCCACTTCCTAACCCTTCTTTCCTCCCTGAAGAAGATCGGCATTCATACCATATCAACAAGGAGTAAAAGTAATAGATGCGATGAAACAAAGTAGTGTTCCTGAAGTAATTATCCCTTGAAGTATCATATAAATTGGTTCACAAAATGTTTGCTATATAATGACAAAACCTGCCCTTGGCAAGCAGCCTAACCTCAATGCAACCTCCACCATTTAGATCTATAATTCTTCCACTTAACCAATGCATGTGCAATGCACATGCCATTCTGCTAGTATATTAAATGAAAAAAATATTACAACAGAGCAATTGCAAAAAAAAACATGAAATAATCCACTTATTGTACACATTAAAGAGTAACATTGAAAATATATGCAATATAATACAAGTTCCAAATAGAAAAAGGACATGAAAAGAACTTCCAACTAGGAAGAACATAATACTGCAAAAGGAACAAATAGACAGGGAAAAAGAAGATTGTGGAGAAAAAAAAATAGTTTTAACAATTACAGTGAAGAGATGTGAGATTCAAAGGAGAAAAGAAACTCTCAAACTTCCAAATACAGTTTGTTTGCCTTTTCCACCCAAATTGCTGAACTTCAATGAAATATATTAATGGAATATTCAAAGAATGTTAAAAAACAAATAAGTAGAATATTTAAGGATGACATACACAAACTTATACTCTCACAAGTAGGAGTGGCAAAGAAATATGATCTCACCATGTAAATACATGTGGCTTCTCACCAGTACAAGAGGGCTGAAAGTACAGTATTATATGTGTATTCAAAAAGGCAGATATAAATCCAAGATTCAAGAATTTCTACATGGTAATAAGAAATTCTAAGAGATTCCCCTTGAATAACTTAGAGGACAAAAGGAATAGGTGAAATGTGATTATGCATGCAATGGTATCTCTTTTATAGTACATGGGTTAAGATTGATTCATTCTTTTGAATTTCACTAAGTTGATTTAGAGGGTGATTCACATTTAACTTTTCACTAGATGACAGATGGATCTGAAGGCCCCTGTTCACAATGCCACTATATCAGAGAGAATCAATAATTAGCATCCAGAACAAACATCTCGTTTAGATGATTTACAAGATCAGGCAATTCATTATTGAATGGCCTTGCCAAAAGGAAAGGTGGGGAGGAGTGAAATGCAATGGGGAACTTCCATTTGGAGGCATATTTTTTGTATTTTTGTATTTTGTTTTTTACAGTGTATGTCAGGCTCTTTATGATATGAGGCTCATGTTGGTCTAGTCTCTACTTTCTTGAGGAATCATGGAAATTTTACACTTCTTGCTTCACTCTTTTTTATCAATAACAGAAATTTTGTTTCAACACAGAAAATACCATACAAGATTTATGTACAAATCCATACAAAATTATAATGGAACCAGCCCCTTGCTGCTCCCCCACAAAACAAATAAAAATACACTTGGATGGTTGAAGTTGGGAAATCCTGGAACATCAAGGATTGGAAGTGTATTTAGAAATCAGGATGGTACCATTCTGATGGTGTTTTCTGGACCTGTTGGGTTTGGCTCTTCTTGCTTCCCACTTCTCTTCATATCTTAATAACATCTAAATCAGATAACTGGTGTGGTGGATATGATTGCAAAGTGATGTGCTTCTTTTTTTCTTTTTTCGATGGTCACAAAGAGATGCTCTTCTCAGGGGACCATGTGCAAAACTGTACAGATGACCTCTGATTCCTTAGTTTTGTCCTTTTAGAATAAATTTTCTATATTACCTATGATAGAACAATAGGCATTGACAGGGAGAGGGAAATAGTGAGATGCTAAAGTGGGAAAGGATGAAGGTGTGTGTCACTATGGCTACATTTTCTATCAATAATCCATCCAAGGCAATTTCAAGAGCTTTAGAGGATTGAAGCAGGGAGATCCTCTATCACCTCTGCTCTTTCTCATTGTTATGGAAGGTCTGAGCAGGATGACTTCTAGAGCTGTAGAAGGAAGCTGTATAGAAGGCTTTTATGAGTTTGTTCTAAAAAATTTATCTTACCTTTTCAAAAAAAAAAAAAAAGTTGTAATAGAAGGCTTTAATGTGGGGAGGAGTGGGTTGAGCATTGATTTGCACCAATTTGCTAATGACCCATTATTCTTTTGTGATACCAAAGTGAAGCATGTGCATAATTTAAAATATTTACTAGTGGGAAACTACCTCCCCATGGGAAGCTTGGCTTTGTACATTTTATTCAGTCAAAAAACGACAACAAAACTGTACTCAAAAAGCTGAGAAAGATGCTTGAAGTGGAAAGTTGGGGTTTGGGTGTATTGCTTGGGTTTTTGTTGGGCTTCGGGCTATTGTGTTTTCTGGTTTTTCGCCTTTTTTGCTGTCTTGAATTGTTATGGGTGAGGGGCTTTCATTTAGTTGGATCTTTTAGTTTGATGGCTGATGCGGGTTTGTTTTGTTCTCATCGGGTTTTGTTTGGGTTTGTCTTTCTTTCAGGTGATTGCTTATCACCTTCCTTGTAATCTTCTTTTTGTTTCAATAAATTTTATGGTTATCTTCAAAAAATATATATATATTAATAAGTACTTTGTTGTTACTTACTAGGGTGGTTTGAAGTGGTATCAGGCTTGAAGATTAATCTAGCTAAGAGTGAGATGGTAGCTGTGGAAGAGATTGAAAACTTGTCTGAACTAGCTGTGGCTCTTTGATGCAGGGTTGGCTCACTTCCTACAAAGTATTTGTGGCTGACTCTACAAGCCAAGTGTATTTCTAAAAGCATTTGGAAGCCCAGTTTTGGATAATGTTGACAGAAAGCTCGCAACCTGGAAAGCAAAATTCTTACCAAGGGGACAAACTGATCCAAATTAAGAGTGTATTGGCTAGCATCCTTGCTTATTTCATGTCCCTCTTCCCCATTCCTGTGGAGGTGGCAGAGAAAATTGAGAAATCCATTGGGGCCTTCTTATTTATGGGTAGGATGGAAGGATTCCTTTGAGAACCATTTGGTGATCTGGGAGCAGATTTGCAGGTCATTGGCTAAAGTAGTCGTATAAGACTACAATCAGCCTTGGGTTTTGAACAGAAAAGAAAAGGAAAAGATAAGAGGAGAGGAGAAGAGAAGTAGAGAGATGGAGAAGGAGAACTTATAAAGAGGTTTTGAAAAAGAGAGAGTGGTTGGTGTGTGTTAAACAGCCGCCCCACTCCTTAATTTATATACATAGTTTCCTAATTGTAAAAGAACTTTAATGCTTACGTGGCAATAAAAGATAAGATTAAAATAAAACTAATCCTAGATAAGATAGGATAAAACTTATCCTACTAGGAAAGCTGATCCTAATCAATTAAATCTAAGTACCTCTCAGGGTACCACATGAATACTCTTAATGTGGGGTCCACAGTTTCCTACACTCCCCCTCAAGTTGGGTAGTAGATATTTGTCATTCCCAACTTGCATAGATCTTCTTCTAACTTCTTTCTTGGAACAGCCTTGGTGAGAAGGTCTGCAAGCTGCATGTCGGAGGTGATGTAGGGAAGGCATACTTCTTGAGATGTAACCCTTTCTCTGATAAAATGTCGGTCCACTTCGATATGCTTAGTTCTGTCGTGTTGTACTGGATTATGGGCTATATTGATGGCAGCCTGATTATCACAGTACAACATTAGGGGCTTCTCATAAACAATACCCAATTCCTCAAGTAATGATCTCAGCCACACCATTTGCCATGGACCTATATTCAGCTTCAGCATTTGAACGAGAAACAACACTTTGTTTCTTACTCTTCTAGGAGACCAGATTACCTCCTACAAAGGCACAATATCCAGAGGTAGATCTTCGATCATCAACACACCCAGCTCAATCAGCATCTGTGTAGACTTCTATCTTCATGTGGTCATTTTTCTTGAACAAAATGCCTTTGCCTGGGGACCTCTTCAAATATGCTAATATCCTTTCAACCGCAAGGAGGTGAGTAGTTCTAGGAGAGTGCATATACTGACTAACTACACTGACTGCATAACTGATGTCAAGTCTTGTGAGGCAAAGATAGAGAAGTTTCCTAACTAACCGTTGAAACATAGCTTTATCTTCAATAGGCTCTCCACCCTCTGCACTAATCCTGTGGTTCTGTTCAATAGGTGTGTTCGCAAGCTTAACTCCCAACTTTCCTATTTCTTCTAGCAGATCAAGAACATACTTTCGTTGAGAGACAAAAATCCCATGCTTGGATCTAGCTACCTCAATGCCCAAGAAATATCGTAGTTCCCCCAGATCTTTTACCTCAAACTCTTGATGAAGGAATTGCTTAAGAGACTCTTTCACTACTATCGCTCCCGGTTACTACAATTTCATCCACATATACGGCAAGCAAGGTTATGGAGGAACCCACTCTCTTAATAAACAAGGTGTGGTCTGACTGAGCCTACACATATCCGAACCTATCAAGGGCTCGTCTGAATCTGTCAAACCATGCTCTAGAGGACTATTTTAGTCCATATAGAGCTTTGTTCAACCAACAAACCTTTCCTGTCTCGTACTATAAAATCTTGGAGGCAATTTCATGTAAACTTCTTCCTGCAAGTCTCCATTGAGAAAGGCGTTTTTAACATCCATATGATATAATGGCCAAGAGTAACTAGCTGCAAAAGATAATAGTACTCTGATAGTGATTATCTTTGCTACTAGTGCAAAAGTTTCTAAGTAGTCAATACTATATGTCCAAGTAAATCCTTTTGCAACTAATCGGACCTTATACATTTCAACAGAACCATGAGCATTATGTTTCACAGTGAATACCCATCCACATCCAACCGGTTTCTTTCCTTTAGGTTGATCAACTATCTCCCAGGTATTTTTTCTGATGAGGGCATCCATTTCTACTTTTATTGCATCTTTCCATTCTGGTACTTCCAATGCTTCCTGTATTGTTCTGAGAATGGGAATATCAGCAATGGATGCGAGAAAAGACTTGTAGGAGGGAGACAAATGATCATAGGATAGGAACTGAGAAATGCAGTGAGTTGTGGTGCAACGACATTTGCCTTTACGGACTGCTATGGGGAGATCAAGGTCACTGAATGAAGGTGAAGGCTCCATGGTTGGATGTCTCTCATCTGTAGTACCTGTGGTACCTGGATCTTGATCTACAGAAGGAACTGGGGCTACTATGGTACCTGGATCTGGATCTGCAGAAGGAACTGGGGCTACTATGGTATCGGGATCTGGATCTATTATCCAAGTCATATGGTCAGATGCTCCTGAATCTATTATCCAAGAATATTTTGCATTACCTGGAGCTGAAGCATGATAAGTTGAGGCCTGATTACCTGCTTGAGCAAAGGATGAGGTTGAAGGAGCTGATGGTGGCGGAGGAGATGAGACTGAGTTACTAACTTCACTTTCCAATTGTGTTAGAGCAGCTCGAACAGCAGCTAGGGTGTCTAGAGGAGTGCCTCTTGAGGCCGTTGAGGCTGCTGCACTATCAGTTTTGACAGCCATATTGGCATTCCCCTTTTTGTTTCTGAGTTTTGCTGGAATTAAATGTGGATGCAACTTCCAACAAGTGTCTTTAGTATGTTTAGATTTCTTGCAATGCTCACATACTAGGTCCTTCTTAGCTTCATTCTTCATATCCCTTTCTTTATCACCCCCAGATTTGGGCTTAACTGCTACCAGGGCTGATTCGAAAGGTTGTTACTGTAGCATAATTTTTCTCCTAGTCTCTTCACTGTGCACTAGAGAATAGGTCTGGGATAAAGTTACATTGTCTCTTGTCAACAACTGTTGTCTCACAATATCATATTCAGAATTTAGACCAGCCAGGAACTCAAACACTATTAGTTTCAACCTGCTTTTTGTAAGTTTGTGCATCCTTATGACTCTCCCATTCAATTGTTTCAAGGTGGTCAATTTCATGCCACAAGGACTTCAAGGTGGAAAAATAAATAGAGACCTGTTTCTCTCCTTGCTTGAGATTTTTAACCTCACGTTTCAGCTCATAAGCCCTAGCAACATTAAGGGGCTGAGAGTAGGTTTTTTCACAACATCCCATATTTCCTTAGCTGTTTTTGCCCATAAGTAGTTTCGGCTGATTGTGGCTTCATAGAGTTGCACAGCCATGTCATCACCAAATAATTCTCTTGAATCCACTTAGCATAAGTGGGATCCTCCTTAGTTGGTTCCTTCATATCTCCCAACAAATAGTTCAGTTTTCCTCTAGCCCCAATGGCCATCATAGCTGATTGGGCCCATTCTAAATAGTTTGATCCATCAAACTTAACAGTTGTAATCTGGAAAGTGTTCTCAGTCATGTTACTTGAACCAAATACACCCTCCCCCTGGCTCCTAAACTCCATTCTTGGTTAGGAGTTAATCAAAACCACCTTCTAATTACTATAACAATCAGCCTACTGGGTATGAAACTAATAACAGTAAATCTAGAAGCAGAAATCAGATTCAGCAGTACTGGGTCTTTGAATACAGAGAACAGAAATCTGATATCAACCAAGCTTAAATCACAAAAGTCAAGTCTAACTCTTATCCGGACATAGTAATAGTCCTGGATTTCAGGGTTTTCTCATAAAACCCCAAATCAAAAAAGAGTATATATATATAGTCGTACCTCTCAGATTAAGCTATCCTTGCTGCCGACCTCAAAAAAGGATGAAATCTTACCCAAAAGTTTCTGAAGAACTGATCTTGATCCAAAAAATCTTCTGGAAATTCTGATCGTCACCTTTAGTCTTGCTCCAAAAAACTGACCTTGATTCTGATCAACCTCAGGAAAATTCTGAAAACAAACTGATCCTGAGAGAATCCTCTTTAAAAAACTTCAGTCTTGATCAGAAACAAACTGATCAACACCTCCAATCTTGGCCAAAGACCTAATCTTGATCACCAATTCTTCTCTGATTCTTCCTGATTACAAGGAGCATCCTCCAATCCACGGACAGTTGCTGAAGACTCCTTGTAACCTCCAAGAATCAGCCGAAAAAAACTTTTCTAAGCTTCCAGCCCTAATTAATTCTCATGTGGTCGGCTGAATTAATTCCACATGAGATTTCCTAGATCGAGTGCTCTGATACCAAGTAGTCGTATAAGACTACAATCAGCCTTGGGTTTCGAACAGAAAAGAAAAGGAAAAGATAAAAGGAGAGGAGAAGAGAAGTAGAGAGATGAAGAAGGAGAACTTGTAGAGAGGTTTTGAGAAAAGAGAGAGTGGTTGGTGTGTGTTAAACAGCCGCCCCACTCCTTAATTTATATACATAGTTTCCTAATTGTAAAAGAACTTTAATGCTTACATGGCAATAAAAGATAAGATTAAAATAAAACTAATCCTAGATAAGATAGGATAAAACTTATCCTACTAGGAAAGCTGATCCTAATCAATTAAATCTAAGTACATCTCAGGGTGCCACACAAATGCTCTTAATGTGGGGTCCACAGTTTCCTACAGCTAATGGTGGGTTGGGCATCAAAAGGTGATAAGGTTCAATTTGGCACCATTTGGAAGGTGGTTCTTGCACTTCAATTGGGAACCAAATGAGCTCTGGATAAGATTAATTGTAGCTAAGTAGTTCTTTCATTTTTTTTTTTTGAAGATATAGCTAAGTATTGCTTTCATGAGAATGGCTGGGAAGCATCTGACTCTAATCAGCCCTATGGAATACGGATACAGTGTATTTGAGAGGAATCTATAAAGCATTTCCTTGCATCATGAAAGGAGTTGAATACAATACCGGAGATGGGGATAGGCTGAATTTTTGGAAGGACACAGTGTGGAGAAAGGCCATTATGTGAATTGGCCGCTGCCCTTTTCTTGATGACAAGTGACAGAAATGCTTCAATGGCAGATTCCTATTTGATGGAAGTGGAGAGTCTGGTGACTATAGCCTGGACACCAGCCTTTAGGAGAAACTTTAATGATTGGGAGTTGTCTCGGACTCTCAGCTAGCAGATCTATTGTATTTACTTCTGTCTCAAAGAGTTAACCTACAAGCTATAAATGCTGGAAATGGTCTAAATCTGGCCTTTTCTCAGCAAACCATGCTATCATGGAATGGGAACAACTGCTGTTTCATCTTCTCCTAGTAAAGCCATTTGGAAGCCTGCTGCCCCCTCAAAGATCAAGTTTTTCACCTGGGTTGTGGCCTGCCTAACCAACAAAGGTTGTTAAGCAAGGGAATAAACTTACCGGGTACCCTTTGTCCCCTGTGTATGGTGGAGGAAGAAACTCCCAGTCATCTAGTTATTCATAGCAGATTCACTTACAAGGTATGGATATACTTTTATAGGGCTATCTCTTATCAGGAGTGCCTGCCAGCCTCTGTTCAGGTCCTCCTACATGGATGGAAGGTTGCCAGTATGGGTGAGAAAGGGAAATGCCTTTGGTCTGCAATCCCTTTGGTTGGAAAGAAACTCAAGGATTTTTGAGCAAAAACGCAATCTGGAGGAGTGATTAATTGCATATCGAGGCTCTAAGGAAATGGCTATTGTTTGGGTTATGGTTGAGCTGCCTCCGAGTGCCACGTGTCACCTCCGTGGCCGCCTTATCACTTCAGCCACATCGGCACCACGTCATTAGATAAGCACGCCTAAGATAGGAGAGTGTCGTATGGATAAGAAGGACAGCTCTGCCAAGGATTAGGTCTTATCCCAAAGACCTCGGCGGACAACCTCATCCCGACAACCCCGAAAGCCTCATCCGACTAGGACACGGATCTTCGACTATAAAAAGGTAACTCTCGCTCAAGGTAAGGGATTGGACTTTGGACTCCCTACATCCATACTATTACTCTGCTCGGACCAACACTGTTCTCTCAACTGCTCGGCCCGACCACCCACCATTCTCTTCACTAACTTGAGCGTCAAAGTACCTACCCGGGGAATAACTCCTCGAGCCTCTGACTCAGTTCATGGTTTCAAATCTTGGAGCGCGGCTTCGTCCTTCCACCTCGGCTCCGCCCAGTTGGCAGGACTATCTGACTACGACCTCGGTTCAAGAAACACCTCGAATCAAGCAGCATCAGCTATCACCTCTAAAAACATTTTCAGGGAAGATGAATTTTCTTCTTTTTTTGCTATGAGGTTTTTTTCTCATGGTCCTTGAGTACATGTGGACATGTCGAAAGCCTCGTTGTATTGGGAGACCCTTGCAATTTTGTTATTCTTGTTATTGCAAATATATTTTCCCTTTTCAAAAAAAAAAAAAAAAAGAGTGGAGTGGCGGTATCCATTTCTACAACAGAATTCTAAATGTTCTCAACAGTTGTGTTTGGTTTGACACAAAATATGGTGGAAAAATTATCTTGGGAAATATTAATTTCTCTGTTCGATTGTAGTAAACACACAAGAGAAAGTATTATTCATCCAAATCCACAGTGAAAGTAACACAATAAATTATGCTCTTTTAGAAAAGTCATTTTACTTGGAGCTTCCAATGACGTTGTGACTTTTACTTTTGAGAGTCCTAGTGGATAACTTATCTCTTTAAAGCAGTTAATATGAGAAAGCTTTCATTTCATAGAACTCTCTCTCCCCCTCCACATATGACTAAAGTTTAGTACTTCAGCTTATAACCCCAATTTCCAAGCTTATATATGTGTTACAATCAAACACTGGAAAACTTTAGAAACATAAATTAATAAGTAATTATTTTCCCCTTATAGTTGTACCTCTCCTGTTCGATTACAAGCCTGCTCTTGGTTAAGCCTTCGGGAGAGTTGTTCACTTCTTGCTTTCCAATTCCAAACCTGTCCACTGCTTTTGCCAGAGGAACTGGCCCTGGTTCAAACTCGCCTGATCGTTTCCACTCCATTCCACTATCTAATATAGCTCCCTCTCATTCTGAAGAAAAAAAATACATATAAAGACCAGTCTTTTCCTTGACATAGGCAACTCTCACCATCTGGATCGCACGACTGCAAATTATTAGACAGGAACCAGTAAATAAAAACATAAAGCCAAGGTATCTGAGATAAATAAAACCCCACGGTTCAAAAAAACAAAAACAAAAACAAATCCAAATCCAAATAGCTAACTAAATCCAAAATCTAAGACGAAAGCAAGATCAAACGTTCAGAATTTTAAGTAAATAAACTTCTAAACTAACACATGCAATATAAACCAGGAAATTGGAACACGTAATGGAAAATGGAGAAAAATTCAATACCCATAAAGAAGCATGTCTGCTTAGGCCACTATAACCGAACATCCATGTAAGAATGATGATAAAGAACGAAACACAGTTCCGATGACATCAGTAATATATGGATCATCCAAACAACCGAATAAATGAAAACAAGTCTTTTTGAATTGAATCGTCACAATAGAAAACCGGTTACAATGAAATGATGAATGAACTATGTATACAGTGAAATGGAAAGCAAGGACCCAAATATAAAAAGGGTGGAAACATTAAATTAAGAACAGTCTCCATCAACGGAAGCCGTAACAACCCATCATCGAGATGCCCAGGTATCAATAAGAAAAGATGAAAATATTGAGCACATCAGATTAGATGAAAAAAAAAAACATACGAATGAAATGTGAACAGAAGAACCTGGTATCAGAAAATGCCCAATTATCAGAAGAACATCTGGTTTCTGCGTTTGGGGGGTGATGGCGTGGTGCGGCGTGGACTGCCGGATTGAGAAGCAAGGCCGGTACCCGGAGTGCTTGGCTTTTTCCGCAATGTTCATGAGATTATCGGGATTCTTCGCTTGGAATCTAGACGGTAGCTGAGGAGGCTGAGGCACGCTGGCACGGTGCCCCAAGTCATCAGCCTGAGCCACAACGGATCAACCGTCGCTTGCGTATCCGAACCCAACCCGACGCGGAAATGAAATGTGACTCACTGACACTGACTCGTGAAATACTCGCATTTAGGATGTCAAGAGGTCGGGTTCGGTGCGGATTTACCTTCATTCTAAGGGCTGTCAATGGGTCGAATCTGATCTCAAGTAGGGGGGGTGCATGGGTAGAGATGTGGGAACATTTTATGCGTAACAGACCCAAGTAGGGGGTGCATGGGAAGAAAGGGAAAACAAAGATGCGTCTACTTTCAATGGAATAGAAAAAATGAGAGGGGAACAAACATAAGAAAGATTTTGTATCTCTATTTTACAAAATAAGTACCTGAAGTAACAATACTTTTCATTAAGATAAAGAAGACGTCATTTCTCCAAGTTTTCTCTTCGTCTCTTGGAGAGCAAACAATGAAAATTAAAATCATTCAAAGGAAATCATGATGCTCCTCAACATATGGTAAAAAAACTATGAAATTGATGACTCTTCTTCTCTTAGAGCTGACAACCTAGTGACTCTTTGAACCAAACCATCAATCTTGAATGTCGGTCTCACTATATCTTGGTTTTCATGGCTCCCCCAAATAATAGAAGAGAAAAGATATGGATTTTAAGAGAGTTTTCTATGTAAGGTAGTCTGCCTATCTTATATTATGGGGAAAATTCTGAATTAGTACATATAGTCATGGTTTTCAAAATCGGACCGGACCGGAAAAACTGGGAACCGGGCAGGTGGTCGGTTTCGGTTTTCCTCAAAATCGGAAATTTGCCTAAAACCATTGATTTTGGTCAGTAAACCGCTGACCCGGACAATTAATCGTTCAAACTGTTCAAATGATTTTGACTGTTTTTTTTTTTTTGTCAGAACGGGTTGACCCGGTAACCTGACCCCTGACCGGTTCAGTCACCGGGTCATTTTTAAAAACCATGCATATAACTTTAGGGTAATCTCACTTTAGTACACAAGCTTCAAAATGTGACATTGCAGTGTTTGGACTCCCAAAAAATGCTAGTTTAGTCTAAGATCATTAACAGATGTTAAGTGACATATAAAAATACAAAAGTGCCCTTTATATATCACCTAATTTTTTTTATCAATCACTCCTATATAAACTAAACTTAAACAAATGTTAGGGTTTAATAGAGAATCCATAGGCGTTAGAAAGGCATAAGAGACTATATATTACTGGAGACTAACAATAGACTATGAATCATCCAAACAGTTTTCACTTTGAGTCTTGATTCTCTTGAAGAATGTTGAATGCATGCGTGACATTTTCGGTCTTCGTTGCAAATACTTAACGTGATTGATCCTTGCGATGAGTTGCAACCTTTCTAGAAAATCGTTATGACACTAATCATCTACGGACCAAAATCACTCAATTATTTTACTTAAATAAATTCACCAAGGGAATTTCTTAGTTGTAGTTCACCATATTCATTTTTCAATGTAGTTCAGCCCAACCATCAACCATGAACCATCCACATAATATTCAATGTGAAGGTTCTGTTCCTTTTTTCTTCATTGCCTCTACAAATATTTTACCTTCTACTATTGGAGATGTTATCGAAGGCTTCAGGGGACGGAGCCAAGGACCCCCCAACCCTCCCCCTAAAAAAAATAAAATAAAACAAAACAAAAAGATCCCATTAAAATGTTAAGGAGTATTCTCTAACTCTCTAAAATGCCCTTTCACTTAATTCTCAAGTTTGTTTTTTTACTTTTCTTTTATAAAAACCCCATAGTAGACCCAAAACCTCCTATCCTATTTCTCTCCAAACCCTATCTGTTATATATCTCATTTTCTTGGTTTTGCCAAGAAATAATGGCATAGGAAAAACAAGTCAATCACATTGAGAATTAAGATTTGGGAGTTGCCACAAAGCCTATAACCAACAGATATACTTAACAAAAATTTTTCAGTACCATAAACCAAAAAAATATATAACGTGGCCCCTCTAAAAGAAAATTCCTCACTCCGCCACTGGAAGGTTTATGCAACTTTCACCAGTAGAAACGAAACAATGAAAGGACAAGCAAACTCAAGAGCATTAGAACAACCTCAGTGCCATCTTCCCAATGGTCTTGGTTCCGATTCTTTCCACTTTTGAGAACACAATAGCATTAGAAGTTTAGAACATGGCCTATTGTTATATACTAAATGGAAAATGACTCAACTCATTGTCTACCCAAGAGCAGGGCTATACTAAAGACAAACAATTAATAGTGTCTTCTTTAGAACAATAGTTTTGATATTTTGTATTTGTTTAAGTCACACATGCCATCACGTGATACAGATAAGGGACAAACAGCTAACAATAGAGACTAAATTGATAGTTTTTGAGAGTTTAAGTATTATAGTGACCCGTTTTGAATATTATGTATAATTTAAGACTATCCCTAAAGTACAAGGAACTAATCATGAATTTTCCTTATAATCTGAGACTATCCCTAAAGTACAAGGACTAAATTACACTTTTAGACATCTATTCTAATTAATATCACACAATAAACCATGGCATGCCATAATTGTTATAAACATCTAATCGGTCCAAGCCTAGTTGATTTAGGATAACTAGAATTGGTACTGACCCAATAATAATTGGACATAAAACTTAAAACCAAAATCAACGCAACAGTTTAAAATTTGGAACCAGAACTGACATAATCCATTTGCTTCGGTTTGGTCTGTTGGGAAACCTGACCCACTGACAACCCTAATTCTAACATGAGCATCTAATGCATTCACCCAAATCACATAGACCAAAATTAAATATAATGCAATTTTCAACCTCGCACCTGTCCCTACACTGACCTGATATCAACCAGTTCCAACCCCTTTTTGAAATTTTCAAAGTAAAAGTAAAGTAGAAGTATTTGGCAACACCAAACTACTTTTCTACTTTTAGAGGGGGAAAATGACATTCACATTCAAAAACTTCAAAAGAACTTTCACATTTGCATTAAAAAAAACAAGGGGTTTAATGAGAGAAAAATGACATTCAATATTATACAAATAATAACACATTTGAATGGGTTTAACATGGAATATTCATATTCACTTTAGCCTATACAAATATGTAGAGTGCAAAATCTTGTATTTTGTGTTATTTTATACGTATTTACACCGTACATATTTATATTTGTACTCCTTCCAAACAAAGCCTTAATGATGCACTTAAATGGGATTAACAGCGAAAATGCCACTAAATACCATTTTCAAAAAAGGGGTTTAAAAGTCAACATTTACATTAACATTCAAATGATACATTCAAATAACGTTGAACCAAAAGTGGTACATATTGATACATCGGATGGGGTGTGTTGGTCTTGTATCAGTGGACACCGGACGATTTACCCTCATTTTTTTTTTTTTTTCAAACTTGTTCAAAGGGGTCAGTATAAGGCATGGTTTTCAAATCGGACGGTTGGACCGAAAAAGTGGGAATATGTCACTTGTTTGGTTCCGGTTTTCCTTAAAACCGGAATTTTTGCCAAAAAAGTTGATTTGGTCAGCAAACCGCTGACCCGGGCAGTTGAACCGTTCGAACTGTTCAACGGTTTTGACCCCTTTTTTAGTTTTTTTGTCAGAGTGGGTCGTCCATTCGGTTCAAACGGTCGGACTGTTCAACATGGGAACCAGACCACTGACCAATTCGTTGTTCGGGTCGGTTTTAAAAACCTTGGTATAAGGTGTCATTTGATAAGTCTAAAATCTGAGAAGTTAAAAATATATTATTTGTGTTTGAAATCTGAAAATATAGATGCCTTTTTTACTTTTAAAGGGATAAAATCTTCAGCATATGAAAATTCCCTAATTTTACTATTTTACCTCTACAACAAATTATTTGATAATTTTGAGTTCAATTTGCATTATCTCATAAAATATTTAACAATTAATATGAATGAAAAACAATAAACAATAGAATATTTAATAATTAATATGAATACAAATTATAAAAAATAAAAATAATTTATTAAATTCAAAATAATATTGAAAATACTAGATCATATTGGATTAGTTGGTCTTCTATTTGACCAGAGATATAGATAAAAAATTGGAATGAATCTTCGGTCTCACTTGGTGTAGTGGACATAGTGCAGAAAACTCATTTTGGTGATTTAAATTATGGATTCATAAGTAGACCGTCATGGTTCGCCTTCAACTTATAACTCTGATAGCTACCGCTATACCCAATATTGTCAAGTTGTTACCTAACCTTGAATCATGGCGGAAACAGAGAAAACTTTCGAATTTGCTAGAACTGCTTATTGAATTCCAAGGCCTGATAAACTTGTTCACCAGAAACATAGACGTGAGCTGCTTTACGAAGATAGGTGAAATTTTGTTTGGGAAGTGTTGCTACCCGGATTGGCCGAGGGCAACAAGGTAAAAACACTCCTGGGTTATGAATGCTGGCCGAAGGCTTTGAAGGGTTCAGAGGAGGTGTGCCGAGGCCAAGAACCGTAGGCTGAGGCGGATCATCTCTGAGTACTGTAGAAGTTGTTGGCTGTCGGTTAAGTGGTGTGGTGAAGTCCCTGGTAATCTGAGGTTCTGTAAGACAGTAGATGTTAGAGGCCTCGGGTGAGAACCCGAGGCAGAGGCTTCGATAGTCAAGTTACTACGAGGGTTGAAGAGAGGGATGTGGTGCAGACGAGAGCTTTGAAAAGGGTGCTCATATGCACTAGGCTCCCAGGAGGTAAGGTCTTTCACTTAAATTTTGAGTTAGAGTTGGTATTCAAGGATCTTTTACGTGGAGGGGGGATACCCCGTATTTATACTTGAATTTCCTGGAGGTTAGTGGAAATGGACACCCCCGATGAGCTCTGTACGAGGGCGATGAGCGGGAGAAGCAGGGACGCTGGGGCACTCTGCTATTGGCTCCGTACGAGAGGAGCAGGGTAGCCCCCACCGTGCTGGACTGGGATACCCTACATCAGGAAGCTTTAAAGGAGTGGCCTATGACGCCGATGACATCTAGACAAAGATCATAGTCAATCAAGAGGTAAGCGATTCTACCTTATACTGCATTCATGAAACCTTCCAGAAATTTCAACGCATTTGGGATGAAATTGTTCTATATCCTAACAGTGAAAAGGAAGCAAAACGTTGTAAGC